CCCAAAATTCACAACACGCAAAGTCTATACATCGATACACACACCCAAGGCAAGCTATGCACCTTAGCACTTGCAAACAAATCCAAGGCCATGGTCCAGGGGCGGCTCTGCCCACAGAGGGCGCTGATCACGATGGTGTATTGCTCTAGCTCCTGGGAAAAAAATTGAAGCCCTCCGCTCTCGACAAAATTAATGAAGGGAGCGCCAGCAGTCTTCCGCCTACATGAAAACTTGTGCGCAAAGTAGTGGCAACCATTGACAAAGCACCATGCTCCCAAATCAGAAAAAATTGTTCACTCCTGCGCCAGCAAAGACATTGCACACTGCCAGCGCCCCGCTTTAGCGCAAGCATTGCACAGCGCCTCAGGGGAACTTCGCAAGCCTCATTCATGGCTATCAATACTGCACGGCGTCATTTGAATGATGAGGGAAATGCGGAATGCGGGCGCTGTTTGTATCGAATGCAACAGCGCCTGGAACGAAAATTCAAATCCAGTGAAAATCTTTGTAAATAAAAACCACCGGATTCGGTTCAAGCTGTTTGAATTCGTATTGCTCCCTGGCACGATGGCGCGACTAAGCCGAAGACATTCATGCCTTAGCCAGGGGCGTTGCGTTCAAGAAACTGCTTTACGCACTCTCAATATTGGAATGACCGAACCATTGCAGACAGTTCAAATGCCGTTCAGGTTCACGTTTGAGTTGTTGCGCAAGCACGACCGAATGTCAAGCTCGCTAACTTCAGGACACTGCAGCTTGAACTAGATCGATCTGACTGTCGCTCTAGAAAAATTACTCTGACAATCAAAGGGGTTGATGTGACACGTGGAACCATGCTTCAAAAACCAAGACACTACAAGCCAACACCGGCCCGAACCAGAAAACCAAAGATCAATGACATTTGTATTGTGGCCTATGTCCACAGTCGGCAGCAAATTAACAACTTACTGGCATTCCCTGCCCGAAGGGCGGGATTGAACCAAGTGGCTGATGGCATCCAACCTTTGGCCATGCCTTTGGAAAAGACCCGCACGTTCGATGGCCTGCCGGCCCAGGACACTTGATTTGCTGAGCGCATGCGCCCCAGAACGCACAGCAACACACAAGTTACACAACCAAAGCCTGGAGAAATCAGCATTGAACCCCAACAAATGATTCATCTCGAGACAGCCAACAGCATCCAAGGCACCGACAATATGCACGTTTAATTTAATAACACCCTAGGGAATTAAGTCGCGGAAACCACTGGAATCAAAGAACCATCATCTTCAAACTCTTGGCTTTCAATGCAGTGCAGGAACCGCCTATTTCACAAATCGTATTTAAAGTCTCTCGTTTATGCATAAATTCTCAGCAGGCTATCACATCCTTCTCGGCTTCTTGGCTTCTCGACTTGTCCCTGGCTTCTTGGCTTCGCAGCTTCGGCTTCTCAGCTTTCCGGCTTGTTAGTGGTTTCTCAGCATCTCGGCTCGTCGGTCAGCTTGTTGGCCCGTCTGCAGCTTCGCACGTTCTCGGCTTTGCCCGCCCCGTTTTGCTCCTTTACCCTTGCTTTGTAGCTATTTTGCATTGATCGCTACACAGGCTTGTCCCATGGAACAAACAATGCAAGCTCCAGTTTTTTCTCAGGGCCTTAGGCATTGAAAAAACCGACCTTGCCCAAGCCCACAAGGTGCCAATATTGAGGAAAGAAAATGATGGATGGCCCCACTTTCCTGTCAAACGCTGTCGTCTTCAACCCCCTTTCACCCATCCACATTCCTGCCTCCTGCCAAGCCTTTGCCCTGCCAGATGCAGCAAGCCACGCAGTGAGACGGCGAAGCTCTTGCTTGTCGTCTGCCTCACATCAACAACTTCTTTTTGGTTTTTATACAACTCACCAGAAGACATGAACCGCTGCCAAAGCCTTCATCCATCCAAATTTCAGGAAGGCACACTGGGCATGGACGGCACCATTGCTGCTGCCAGCGGTGACCAAACCCTCTCACAACATGGAATTCTCCGCTCTGCCAGAGCCAGAAAAGCTGTGAAGGCCGGAAACGTCAGAAATGCTACTTGGCTCTTTTCCGTTCTGACCAAAAGAGGCGCGATGAAAGCCACACAGTCTGAAATCAGCTCAAGGGCATTCAGCTGCAATGCACTGTCCAAACAGAAACGAGAAACCTATCTCCCTCTCACAATCCCGAAATTGCCTGCCTGAGAACAAGGAGCCGATGCAAATGCATCACGAAGGCATGGCCTCCAGCTATAAATTACTAGTTCTGGGCTGCGCAAACAGAATCATGCAGGTGCTGCAAGGCAGTAAGAGTGATACAAAGTTGATGAGCCCATTGACATCTATAGACTTACAGTAGACTGAAACTCCATTGCTGGTTTGCTGCAACTTGCTCAAAATATCTCAAAATATAGTGCGTTAAAACAATGATGGAGCATCCTCGAAAGATCTATCTCAAGCAGCAATGAGAGCGGGCGCACAAGAGTTGTTCGTATTGCAGTAGTAGGTGCTGAACCTGGCGTTGCAGTGCTTCGACTCCGACTTACTTCGAACCGGTGGCCAGCTGATCTCTTCAGAATGTCTTCCATGGCCACTTGACTCAAACGATCCGAAGAATCGCACAAACTACATGTCTATGGTCAATGAGTCAATGACTGGTCCTTCGAGCAAGAACAATAGATCATTGGGTCACTGAAGCACTGTCCAAGATGACTGGCCCAACAAAAATCAAAATCAGACCAATGCATATGGACAGCAAAATGTAACTGGCATGACTGCAGGGACGGCACCAGGACAGTGTTGCGTGCATCCACTTGCAGCGGCACCCTGTTTCCCAATCGCTGGCATGACAGACAAAAATAGACAAAACACATGCAACGGCGGAACCTAGAGGCAAGAACCCCAAAGTTCAAGCATGGACAAACTATCTGGGGACAAAAGTTGGTTGCATAGAAGCAAGGGGGAACCGCTATCAGAATGGCATCCGAAGACCTCTCAACAGACGTTGTGACTTGGCTGCACTTCAAACTTGCGGGGCCAACCAACGGTCACAATAAATTCGACACATGGACTCACACGCCGCAGGAAGCAATCGGAATTAGGAAGAGCAAACGAGGTTGCAGCCCGCCTGTGGCAAAGGCCTCCCTGGCAGCTTCCTGGTGAGCATCCAGATGCCAACATGTTTGAAATACATTGGGGGGCGGCAGATCGGCTTGATGTGGCTTGCCATCTATTCGGCTTATCGCAATATCGATTCATGTCGTCTATGCCATCTACGGATTAAAAGGTTTCAGAAGAGTTTTTGGATTTTGTTTGGTTTTCTTTCTTGGTACCATTTGCCTTGTAGTTGCAACAGTTTGGAACTAGAATCTGTCATTTTGCATGGTATTTGCCACATTTTGGCATGGTTACTTTGCATTTTACATGGTATTTGCTACATTTGGGCATGGTTACTTTGCATTTTGCATGGCATTTGCTACATGTGGCCCATGTTTGCCTTTCATTTTGCATGGTATTTGCAATGTTTTGGCACTTCAATCTCTCATTTGCATGGTATTTGCTACATTTTGGTACTTCAAACGTTGATGTGGATTTCTTGAGAGTTGCTTTAGGCTTTCATGTAGGGTTTCATTTAGGGTTTCATTTAGGGTTTCATTTAGGGTTTCATTTAGGGTTTCATTTAGGGTTTCATTGGGATTTCATTTAGGGTTTCATGTAGGGTTTCTTTAGGGATTCTTTAGGGTTTAATTTAGGGTGTCATTTAGGCTTTCATTTAAGGTTCCTTAGGTTTAGGGTTTCTTTAAATTTCATTTTGTGTTTCATTTAGGGTTTCATTTAAGGGTTTCTTATCAGGATTTCTTATCAGGATTTCCAAACGTTCATGTGGGTTTCCTTGGGGCTTCTTTCGGGTTTCATTTAGGGTTTCATTTGGGGTTTCTTTAGTGTTTCATGTAGGGTTTCTTTAGGGTTTCATTTAGGGTCTCATTTAAGGGTGTCTTATCAGGGTTTCTTAAAATCAGGATTTCCAAACGTTCATGTGGGTTTCTTTGGGGGTTCTTTAGGGCTTCATGCAGGCTTTCATTTAGGGTTTCTGTAGGGTTTCATTTAAGGTTTCATTTAAGGTTTCATTTAAGGTTCCTTAGGTTTAGGGTTTCTTTAAATTTCATTTTGTGTTTCATTTAGGGTTTCATTTAAGGGTTTCTTATCAGGATTTCTTATCAGGATTTCCAAACGTTCATGTGGGTTTCCTTGGGGCTTCTTTCGGGTTTCATTTAGGGTTTCATTTGGGGTTTCTTTAGTGTTTCATGTAGGGTTTCTTTAGGGTTTCATTTAGGGTCTCATTTAAGGGTGTCTTATCAGGGTTTCTTAAAATCAGGATTTCCAAACGTTCATGTGGGTTTCTTTGGGGGTTCTTTAGGGCTTCATGCAGGCTTTCATTTAGGGTTTCTGTAGGGTTTCATTTAAGGTTTCATTTAAGGTTTCATTTAGGGTTCCTTTAAGGTTTCATTTAGGGGTTCTTTCAGAACAGGGGATCAGGAGAGTGCGTTTTTGCACTCCTCTTTGCACATTCTCTGTTTTGACATATGCATTGACTGGAAAGAAAAAAACAAATGACAAGACTCAACTCTCTGCATCCTTCCCTTGGGGCGTGCAAAACTAAAAAACAAAAATCAAAAGACCAAAATCAAACGGAAAAAAAAAACAAGAAAACTAACCCTATGTCACAGGCACTCTGGCCCAGTAGGTCTTCTTGGTTTTCTGTTTTTTTTGTTTTTTTGTTTTTTTTGTTTTTTTGTTTGTTTTTTTGTTTTTTTTTAGTTTTTTTGTTTTTTTGGGTTTTGCTAACCTTTGACCTACTTTATCTTCTTTTGGCTCTTAGTCAAATTTTGCAAAACCGGTCTGCATCCTTGCCTGTCTGTGTCCTGATGGTTGTGGAGGGGGATAACATGAGCCTAGCAGATGAGGGGACTGTGGGAGTGCAACTTTTCTGCATATGACTTAGTGTAAA